CGGCAAGCTCTGCAAGTAGTTATTCTCCAAAACATACACAAGCCATCAGCAACTACTTTACAGCCTGAATCGAACGCGAGGGGTGCAAAAGCTGATGCTTTCTGACCTGCACATCAATGAATTTCCAAACTCCCGACGGGCAGCTTCGATACCTGTCATGCCTTGAAAACTGCTACGACTGACACCGCTGCACCCACAACAGGGAACTGCAAAGCAAGCCATGTTCTACCAAGGCTGCACTGGCAATGTTAGAATCCCGAACCCTTGCTCAGGCCTCGGGGATGTCTGGCCTGCGAATGGCAGCCAACAAGGCCGGCCAGAGCTGTGTCCCCTGGTGCTGATGGAGTGGGAAATTGGTCCTCTAATTTGGAATCTGCAGCTGCCGTGTGCATGGCAAGGACGTGACAGTGGAGAGTCCGGTTCCTGCACCGAGTCCTGTATCGCTTATGTTCATGAGCACGACATGGGCAAATCGACCCCACGGTTCCTTACAGCAGCTACAGCTGAACTCAGAAAGAAGCCACAGACGTCGGCCACAACCCTGCGAATCCAGATCCGATCAGGCCAAACCGCTGCAACAAGGCATGCAGAAGCCTCAGACCTTACACCACGATAACAGGAGGAAGGCACAACCTTCACTTGTAGAGTCCCAGAAATCCAAGCTGGAACTCAATCGTAGGCGAATCGGCTCGACACCTAAACCCGACATCTTTCCATAAGAAGTTGCCTCGAAGTTGGCGCCCAAGGCAGCAGCCAAGTGGCCCATGGCACGAATCGCCTCCTTCGTGCAACGAGAGTTTGCCAGTTCTTTCTCTTACAACAGTCTTCTACGAGTGTGCTGAGCTTGATTCTGGCTGTCTTGTTCCATGGTCGTCTGTACAATCCTCTTCTTCAGATAAGCCTAACTTGCGGGGATGGAGATGATCGTCATCACGGGCATGAGAAGCAGTACGTCAACTGCCCCTACCTCCAATCTAAAACTAAACCATTCTTTCTACTTCGTGCGGTTCCTCCTCGCCAGCTGCGCCGTGGCGCGCCAAAAGTGAGCCAACTGCCGCAGAACGGCTCTGGACCTGAGCCAGGCGAACACCAAAGGAAGGATGAACATGGTCCTCTTGAATAGCAGCTTTGAGTGCGCAGACTGAACACGAAGGAGCGTGCATGGAAAACACCAACGATGGATTGCGATACGCGTGGGCTCCCGTGGACATTGCTGGATGACAACTATGACCAGTCGTCGATGATAAACTATGATGCAACACAGTAACACAAGGTAGCGAACCGAGCTAGAGTTACTGACTGCTGGCCGCCAAGCCGCTCACGGACCCAGGCGAACGATGAGCACTCGCAGGCAGCAAAACAAACCTCACTGGCAATTAAACTCTCCCTCCAACCTACAAGTATCCAAGGAGTTCATTGCTAGCGCTAAATGGATCCAGAATCATCGCAGCAGAGCCCAAAACCGTCGGTTAAAGGGCTCAGTGCCTCTCTTCCGGGGCTCGGGCCCCGGGCTGCTGCCCCGCCAACTTCTTCAAGCTCCGCCTTGCAACCGCGGAATTATTCTGAGCAGGGCACTACCTGTAGAGAGGACTAAGTCATGTTTGTCTGTTGGGGCTTAGCATGGAATGCCGCGTCCTCCCTTGCCTGTTTGAGTACTTCGTCCAGGAGCGATTCCATCTGCGGAAGGCACTCCTCTGGATCGGTCGCAATGCGGCTTTCAAACGAGCAACGGACCCAAAAGTACAGAGCTTGCTCGAGGCTCGTAGACAGTCCTCAGACGCCCGACCCAGGAGTTCCGTCAAACAGCCTCGAGGTGGAAGTAGTTCGAAGAGATTCGAGGGAGTCGGCTGTGTTGGGGGTTGCTGTCTCTGGTATTCTCTGGTGGGGGAGGTGCAGCTTTCGAGGGGCAACTCAAAATTAGGCAGAAATACAATTCGAAATAAAAGTCCAAACTCTGAGCAGCTCCGGCTTTTCGACCCTCGGGTGGAGTGCAGCACAGGGGCTCAGCAGAGCATGCTGAGTTCGGCTTTGTGGCTGCGCTTTTTGGGTCGCGGCCAGCAACGATTCTTTGGCTGCTCGACAACATGAGGACCGGTTCAACAGATTCACCAAACAGGATAACACTGACTAACTAACCAACTAACTCGCTAACTCACTAACTCACTAACTCACTTACTTACTCACTAACTAACTAACTAACTAACTAACCAACCAACCAACCAACCAACCAACCAACTAACCAACTAACCAACTAACCAACTAACCAACCAACCAACCAACTAACTAACCAACTAACTAACCAACTAACCAACTAACCAACTAACCAACTAACCAACCAACCAACCAACCAACCAACCAACTAACTAACTAACTAAACCCGCACGCACACACACACACACGAGATCAGAGCTTTGGATACTAGCAGCGGTGGTGGCGATGACAAGGCTGAGATCAGCGATACAGATGATAATCATGGCGAAGTGAGCCGTGGTAGTTGTCGTAAGCATTCATGGGTTCACTATTTCCGAATATGACGTTCTCACAGCAAGAGCTGAACATTTCCGGGTATGATGGTCGCAAGGCACGAAAATCACCACGGTGCGAGGGCAACACTGATGGCCCAGCCATCAAAGCACTGCTACACTTTAGCAGTAAATCCTGATGTCGCCGAAACGTACAGCAACTTGACTGTGCTAGCTCGAAACACAACACCTTGGTGAAGAACTCTGCGAAGACTGGGCGACCCTGACATGAATCCACACCTAGCTCGGCACGCCAGTGCAACTTCTCGGTCAGAGGAGTCCCGACCTCGCTGCCAAGCCTCCAGCACTGTGCCGAAAGGAGCCGGCTCGAGGACCGCGGCCTCGCAAAGACTTCGGCAGCAAGAAGACCTGCTGTCGTAGCTCCACCTGTCAGACAGAATTCGAACCTGCTGGTCGACGAGGCCGTCGAGGCAATAACCTCTGCACAGAAGCTGCCACTGCTTGCCCTTGTGCCGTACGTCTCGCAGGAAGCCTGTATGGTGAGTATACGAGTTACCAGTGTTCCCACACCTTCTTGCTGATTCGTCACTTCGTGCATTCCAGTCAGCCGAACACAAGAGTTTCTGTGTCATCAGCCACGTCACTAGGCATGAGCAAACTGAGGACGAGTATTCGCTGTTGTCAGACATGATTTAGCTGCTTTTGGTCGGATCGTAATGCTCCGAGCTCTGACTTCTGATATGACTGCCACTTGCAGGACATCTGCACCAACCACGCCCCCAACCCTCAAAGCACCACAACGGATCAACACACGTGGCGCAATGCATAAATATTAAATGGTACAGTACTTCATCCTTCGCATCTCGAGCGCTGCCACGAGACAAAGCTCCTCGGCCAGGGCGGCCTCCGCACGCAGTCGATGCAGCGCAGCATCGAAGAGCACAGCCTTGTCGGGAGGCTTCAGGGCCCTTGAAAACTCAAGAGAAAGGAAAGACACGACAGGCCCAAGAAGCGGGGCATCCCCTTGCTTGCAGCTCTATAAGTGTTGGTTCCCACGACGACAGGCTCCAAACTGCCCCATTCTGCCTGAGCTTCATCTGCCACAGATCCTCCGCAGTGAAGCTTTCAGTGACTGCACATCCAGGTCTCCACAGCAGTTCGGAAAATGCCGAACTCAATCAACACCAGGCAATCCAAGGTGTCCTGGGTTCTTGTCCAGCACCCTGCCCAACCTGGTCGTGCTCGGTGGACATGCATCGTGCACATCTCACTTAGGCTCTATTCGGATGTTGAACCGTGTATACTTGGAGAACATGTGCCGCTGATGCAAGCTTGAAAATTGCTTGATGCGAACTTCTTTGCATGATCGTAGACAAATATGCTCAGGTCCTAGCAGAACAGGTACAGAACACGTGTCCCAACCCTCGAAGTCATTCCAGGAAGCGTCCAGGCAGCAGCAGAAGCTTCAGGCACCGGATGGCTTCTCAGGGCCTGATGCAGAAATAGAATCTTCTGCAAGAACTTCAGGCTCAAGTCTCTGACCAGCAACAGGCTTCCGAATTGCACAGCAGCATTGCAAAGATCCAGTCAGAACCCGTGCACCGGCGGCCCAAATCGGTCGATTGACAGCACGGAACATCTTACTTACGTCAACAAGAAAATGGTCGGATCCATCTGTTGAACATAACTTGCCGAACGTGTTCGAAGCCTCGTCTCGGGAGCTGTAACTTAGAGCCCTTTAGCCCCTAATTCGTATAGAAAGCCTTGTAGTTTTGTAGAGCCCTGAAAGGAATCCTCCGACTCAGAGCCCCACAAGGCCTCCAAGAGTTTCGGCAACGCAGAGGCCACAAAAGGGCGCAAGGCCTGTCTGAAAGAGCTCAAAGCCGGGATACTCTTTAAATTAGTTCCTTTTCGCCATCTGTGGAGTTTCAGACGAGTCAGATGAGTCTAGGACGATCTAGGACGTTGGATCAAGCTTCATGGCGCTGGCTTCGGGGGTTCATGTCACTGTGGCGAAAGGTGGCATTCTGTCTGCGTGGCGCCTGTGTTGCAGCACGTTCACCACTGAATGGCCGGAGGCAGCTTCATTTCTTGAAGATGTATTAGGCCGGCAATTATAAAAAACCGTCAAAGGCAAGCCCCCAGTCTTGGCCACCGTTTGGTGAATCTATCGTTGTCACGGAGCCTACGGGCAATCAGAAAGACCTTCCTCCCTTCCCCGATGATGCACCTGGGCGCTTGGTCCATCCTGGCGAGACTCACGAAGGTAAAGCAGGGAGCTGCTGGCAGCGATCAGATCTCTGCAGGCTATTGAGCTATCTGTTGCCACCGCGTGGTTCGTTCCGAACTCCGCTTCTGCTGAAGCCTGCACTCAAGGCGCCTTACTGAAGAACATGGGTTCCATGCGGCCAAAGTGTTCATACAAGTTAATCCACGAGCTGAAAGCCATGGGTGCTTTAAACATCATCACCAAGACACCATGCAAAGCCGCAGATGCCAAGACTGCAGGAAGCCTGGATAGCGCCGAAGGCAAGCAGCGCAGATCGCCGCTGCCACTCATCCTTCGAGGAAGTGGCGCTCCGAAAATCTCTGCTGTAAAGGCCACGCACTGAATCAGGCGAGACATAGAACATGATGTGCCCCAACAAAGTGCATTCGAGCTGTTGCGCATGTCTGGCGTTTCTTCATGCGGAGCGTCTGCTTCCTTTCCAACAAGTTTTCCAACACTCTGCAAAGTATCCCACACTCCCGTCACCGATTTCCCTTCCGGGGCATCCTGGGAGGACATGGCGGCTGAGGCAAACTGCAAGATGGGGCCAACGCAGGCATCTCCTGTGACCTGCGATGATTCAGTCAAGGCTTATAAACGAACAGGGACACTTCGGATGCAAATCATTGCGGCACTTGGAGGTCTTCGGGAGTTGAGATTCGCCGGATTACGTGAAACGGTCCTGACATGTCCTGACCGTTTGTCTTTGTTGAGTGCGGCGAAAGCCTGCAAATAAACGTGGCATTCATGGTGTCCAGTAGCTCCAATCCTGATTACAGCCATGCAGCTGATATCAGCTGGATTTCATACAAAACAAAGCGACAGGCGGTTGCAAACACTTGCCCGGGCGCTTGGGGAGACTGTACCCACTACTTCTGATACAAGCTTTGCACACCGCTAGCTCACTAGATCCTCCCGTCCCAAATCCCTACATCTAAATCCCTCAACATCCAAACTCGAATCCCCTGTAAAAAGGCGTAGAAGTCGTGGTGATTCTGGCCTTCGCCACGGTCACCTGGCGTGCAACAGGTCTATAGGGATTAGGGCATGCAGTGGGCAATGAGCAAGCCAAGCAAGCTGAGCACCGAGCGACGGCACCGCAGGCGGCCTCCTGCACTGGTGAGGCATCCTCCTCCGGATCCCAGGAGCCTTGAGTATGGGCTCTCGGCGACAGGCTGGCAGTAAATTAAGCACGGAAGTGACCAAGGAGTGAAGGGAAGCAGGCGTCGCAGTGGCGTTCGATTGTTGTTCACTGCTGCGCAGTGCTGCTGCATGTTGCTTGAGCACGGCAGGTCATGCTGAGAATATTCAATGTTGCTGTTGTGGCTGAAGGTGATGACCGAGGCCAGCTTGCACAGAAGAACCAGAACATGTGACACACGGCTAAGATCGTGACCGGACTGCCACGTGCTTGGCCTGGCCTGAAGCGCCTGGCGCCAGCGCGTGATTCGGGGATCGGAGCTACGTCGTGGCTCGGGCTTTGTGTCTCGTCAAAATCTTCCAGGTCCGAAGGTATACTTTGTTGGAGCCCGACCTTCCACCCTGGAACCCGCATTCCGCTGATCCCTGATTCCCCTTTGTCAAGCATAGCGGCATAGCACGGATCTTCATCGCGTTATTAGATCTTGTTCACATCTCTGGAGCCAAAGCCCTACAGTACCTCTTTCTCTTCTACCCCAGTCTCCTTGTCTGTTCGAACCCAGGCCCCTCACATTCGGGGTCTCGGGCAGATTTGGGTAAAGTCCCTTGTGTTGATGGGCTTCGTCGTGGGTCGAGTGCCTGATTGTCCCCTTTTGTGATTCTCCAACTAAGATGCCATGAGAGCCGTCTGACCACCATGGCAGATTGCAAGAAGGAACAAGCGGACAGCAAAGATGTCTGCGATCTTGATGCCAAGAAGACTGAGCTCAAGAGGAGCACGCCACTCGGCCGTGACGGTAATGCTCAACTTCGAGTTCAGCATACCCATCCGGGCAAGACCGCATGCAGCATGCAGCACGTACTCGCCAATTCCAGCTGAATCGCATCCAGAGCCGCGCGGCCAAGCCGTGCTGCGACAAGTTGGACAAGACGCTGAAGAAATCAGCAACGGCCACAGGCCAGCAGCCGTTTGCCAATCAGCTCAGACCGAAGCTTTCCCTCGGCAGGCTGGAAGTGACTGGAGATGTTAAAACTCTCGCCTTGGGCGTCCGATTACACTCGTAACAGGGTGCCCAGTGCAAGAACGAACTCCCGGGAAACCTTCAAACAGGACTAGGAGTGGCTCCACAAGGCTGGAAACTCCGACCCGAAAACCTCTCGCGTGCGTTTCGTCGTCACTGCACCGGAGGCGAAGACGAGGCCAGGATCGGGAAGAGAAACATTCGCACGGCGTGGCACCTGCCGATCCACGCACCTGGCAGTAGACTTTTCTGGGCTTCCTCAGAGATTCGAGAACGAGGAAAGGGGGCCAAGGCCAGTAGCCGGCCCAGAGGTTCACGCTTCCCGCTCTCCTCTTCGGCATGGCAAAGGCCAGACAAAAGTCAACGGGAGCATCTGGCAACATTAACGCAAAGATGATCGGCTTGAGCCACAGGCCCCACTGGATTGGAGGAAGCGATGGAAGTGCAGATCTGAATGCAGAAAGTTCAAGGCCCGTCAGTTGCACGCCTGGACTATTCTCGATTGCAACAGTGCCATGGGTCGGTTTCTTGGCTATGCTCACAAGCAGGATGCTATGCCATTTGCACCACGTGTCTGACACGGCCCGGCACCTCAAGCAACAGCGGCATCAAGTTGGGCAAAGCTTGCTGCAAAAGACCTGATGCAGTGGTTCGGCTTACACTACCCCTTACACTGTACACGTTCACCAACATCAGTGAATCTACGAGTGACTTGAAATGTGACGACTGAAGCTACTGGAGGCTTCAAGCGGAGACATGGCTCAACGCTTGCAGGAACGGGGAGCAATGATTGTTCTCCTGTCCGTGCTGATCTTGAGGGGAACATTCGGGCAAGACTGACATGGATGTCGCCAGGGATATCAGGGCGTGCCAAACGGCGAATAACAGTGAGAATTTGAGGGTTCGAACCTGTTAGTCTGCTGCACCTACCAAGCTTTCGGGCAATGTTCGGCATGTTTGGACTTCAGCCATCTCCGAAGCAATACCGAACTGCCGCCACTGCCGCGACCTCGACACTGGTCGCTTTGCTTGCCATCCAGCAGGTACAGCTCGTAGGCTGCCAAAGTCTCCTGGGCTTCCGTACTCTGCAGAAAAAGGAGCTGCGGGCCTTTTTTTACCGGTGAACAGTTTTGCTCGGGCGGCTAGGCCTCGCGGCAAGCATCTTCGGCTACGCAAAATCGAAGGAAGGGTTGCCCAGAGTGTGACGATGCACATGGCTAACTGCGCCTTCAGTGCCTCGATTCCCATTTCCGCATATTGTACCGGGACCTGCCCCAGATCCCAAAGCCAAGCTCAGCCTACACCCAAAATCTCCCTTCCACCTGCTCATAGGACCAGGCCGCCCAGAGCTCCACGGCTTGCACTTGCGAGGCCTCGCCAGTCCCGCGGAGAGTGCCGCGGCAAAGATCGACCATCCTGATCCGGGCATGGTTACTTTGTTCGTGGAAGTCTCTGGTCTGCGAGGTCTCGGAATTCGCCCGGAATGTTTCAAGACAACTACGCTCCTCAGCACAAGGATCACCACCAAGAAAAACTGTCATCTATTGTGTCCAGGCTCTGCTGGAGCTGGGGGGTGCCGAGGGCCTCGTAGAACTCGCAGGCAGCGACGCCCAGCAAGCCTGGCTTACTCGGCTGTCGACTTGAGAGTCTGGGCTTCGCTCTGTGCTGGAACGGCACCTCAGGAATTTTGCACCGTTTCAGACTCAGGATTTGGGTGATACCTTGAGCAACAACGCCAAGAACTTAAAAAATATACTTAAAGACAATATGATCCATATGCCCGACCAGAACCAAATTCCAGCCTCCGTCTCTGAAGCTCTGAAGCTCACCTCTTGGCTGCCGAGCAGCGAAGCTCGGCTTCGCCGGTGCCCGCTGCCAAGGCGGCGGAAAACACCTGTCATCATGACAAGTATATGCCGTTGCGGCCATGGGAAACTTCCTTCATATTCCTACATGCCACATGTCTAGGGACATCACCAGGCAGGTTGTAGGGCTCCAGGCTCCAAAATTGTGGAGGTCGGGAGTTTGAGGTATGGGGCTCGAGCGCCGCATCAGGGCGGAGATGTGTAAGCTGTCCTGAGCAGCTGTGCGCGGGGAGTTTGATTAAGGTCCTTTGAGAGAGAGAGGGATCCAAACTGCTCCAAGATGGGTTCTTATCGTCTGCAATGGGCATCACGCGGGCAACTACATGAGGACATGTGCATGTCGTGACGGGGATGCTCTTTCATGACACCGCCCATCGCTCCCCCTCGCGCCACCCACCCACCCACCCACCCACTCACCCACCCACACCTGCTTTTTCCTGTTGGCAGTGATGATTGGTATGACTCTTGCGAGGCTTTCGTTGCCGTAACCACGGCCCTTTCCGGGACTGGACATCAGTGTAAGCAGGTGGGGCCGGGGTACTCCCTTTCTTTGTGCATCAAACTGTCCAACTGTGTGGAGGACCTGCCGCTCTGTCGTGGATCAGCTGCCGGGCAACTGGCAAGTGCAACTTCGGTCCGGACGGGAACACCATTGTCGGGATTGATGGAGCAAGACGCTTGTTCCAGTTACAAGTTGGACTTTCGGATTTCTTGGTTCAAGCTCTTTAGCGATGGTGCGTGCTGCGGGGCTTGCCTTTTCTCAAGACAGTCATCGGTTGCAGACACCCTGCCGAGTCTCATTCGGTGTTGCGTTGCCGCTTGATGGCTTCAGAGTTGGGGTTGACATGCGCGGTCCGTTACGCAGCACGCGTGTGATAGACCCGGAACCCATTACCCCCTCGACTTGGCTCAACCTACACACCGGACTCTCTGGCACTCCAAGCCTCGCCAGCCGCCTCTTTTGTGGCGCCCACTGAGACTGGGACCAGCAAGCAAAGAGCCTCCCAGCGGAAACTTTGGCTTCATACGTAAGCCATGGCTGTTTAATTCAATCCAGTGACCAAAGAATACTAGGCGCGGTTTGCACAATATGCTGTAATTGCCTTTCGGGGCTGCAAGATAATGAGGCCAGTCATGGACATGGGGTTTGTCATCCACGAGCAGCACCGCGAAGCCTCTGTCAGAAACCTGAGTCTTATTATAACTGCTTTTCCAAATTCACAGGGCGTTGTCCCACTGCGGCGAGCAACTCAATGAATGTACGGCGGCGAAGGCTTCGGCTGCACGTGCTTGAACTCGCAGAGTGCTGGCCCTAGAATGCAAAGACCCTGCTGTGCCTCTGCCGCAGCACCCCGCAGCGGGGCGGGCGTTGTGGGTGAGAGGAAGCTCAGCGTGGCCTGCAGGATGCACAGGTCGATGACTTGCTTAGGGTTAGGAGTGGCATAAAAGCCTATGGTAGGCTTGCTCTGGCCTTCGTGAGCTCTGCGCTGCCCGGCAGCAAGCCTCCAGCAAGCCCCACTTGTCTTTGTGAAGGCCCCAAGCTTTCAAGACAGGCCTGCGCCCGAGCACTGCCACTGCTCCGCAATCTGCCCGAAGCAAGAGAGAAGCTCCGGGGTGACATCTGCGGCCAGTGCGTGCATTGCCATGGGCTTCAGATGGCTTTGGAGTTGAGGCCCCGTCGTCGGGCCAATCTTGATTCTCAAGCTCCGGTGCATTGGTGCGCAAGCATGCCGAGATTTGAGAACAGCAAGCAGGCAGGCTCTCAGTGTTGGATCCCCATTGGATCGACCGGCAGACACAAACGCTGCACAGCACAATGGCACGACGCACCAGCATAGTCTTGCAAGCGGCCTAGACCCGAATTCTGAACTGCGCAACCCTCTCAAATCTTCAGGCCTGGTCGACGGCAAAGGGCGAGGAGCTGTGGTGCCACTGCAGCAAAATTGCCTTTAGCGGGCTCATCGCTGCACGGTGTCAAGCTCTCCACCAGCAACTTGCCAGCGCATTCGGGCGTTATGAAAGCCCACGGATCACCCGAGCGGGATAACGACTTCGAAGGCGACTTCAAATCATGAACCGGCAGATCTGAAAACGACCTCATCCAATCAGCTCTGCCCAGTTGCTACAAGCCAGCTTTGCTGCGCAAAGCCTCAAGACGTAGCTTCGAACAACGTGTGTCTGGTCGGCCCACGTGCAAGGCTCAGCCATTTGAAGAAGTTGCACAAAAGACAGTGCTGATTCGCTCATTCCTACTCAGCCCCACTCGTTGAACAATGCCTGAGATATCCTGAGATCCTGCACTCCAAGTCAGGGCCGGAGCAGGAAGCGGAAAGATATTTGGTGGACCCCGTATGGTTAGACCTCTGTTTGCTTGTTAGCGTACCCCCATATCCATAAAAAGCACCACATAATTCAAGCTCTGTCTTTCTTGTGAGAGGCACAGGGCCTAGGGGCGAGGATCTCTGGCGTTTGTTTCTTTCGCCAAGGAAGTTGCCTTCCCACTGCGCTCTCGCTCTCTTTCTTTCGGCAGGGTTATGGGCAAAGGGGAACTCCCCCCTGCCTCGCTCGCTCTCTCTCTCTCTCTCTCTCTCCTGTGCTTGCGGTTCAAGTCAGGGGCAAACCTCCAATTCGCGCCGAAGCGCATCCCCTTCCGTCATGTTGACAGAGAGGGCTTGGCTGTTCTGAAGATCGGACCATCCGAAGCGAAATGGCTTGTGTGCCCCCCCCCTCTCTCTCTCGGCCCTGAACCCGCTCTCTGTTAACTTTACAACCAGTGCCCTTCAGGTTTGCAGCACTGGGCACGCAGCACCCCGACGCAGCGCCGCATCGGCTGAATCAGCAAGAGCCTGGTCAAAGCTCTGCGTGCAAAGAAACCAAAGCTGAGACTGAGGAATAGTGTTCTGAAGGTGTTTGGGCTTTGCGACTGAGCGATTCTGGTCGTCTGTTGTCACCTGGCTTTCTCCCTCATAGTTGCATGAACATTGCGATCTGTCCGTGACATGTCCTGCGATGCCCGGATCTGTGGCAATTCTTTTGCGGCCCAAAGCTTCTTGCTGACATGGCCCTGGGCCCTAACACCCGAGGAAGCCAGCAGGGCAAGAAGCAGGAGCTACTGAGGAAGAACACCGTTCTTCACAGACTATGACACCACGACCCCTGTACACGACGAAAGCCCCTTTGGTACTACCTGAGCACACGCTCTCTTCCTTGTTCCCGGGTAATGCATCTCGACGACTCTTTAAAGGCCTAGAATAGAAAAGGGTGTGGGACTCCGCAAGCCTGTAGCACCGGGCCCTGCAGGGAGCCCTCCACGCCGGGCACTGGTAGCCTGCTGGCGGACGTGACAGCCGTCGCTGTCGCTATCCTGCCCCCTTTTTTGTCCTTTTTTCCTAGACTGCTGCGTGGGTAAGTAGGCGCAGCCGCAAAACCGGACCGCCAACATGCCGTTCAGTGCTGGTCACCATGTGGCTGGCAATCAGATACTTTGAAGGCCAAGCTACGTGTTCTTCAGGAGAAGTGCGGCCAGCTGGCGTGCCTCCAAACAACCAGTGGCTGAACTTCTTCTTGCTCTCTAGCTCGCGCAGCTGTTTGCACTTAAGCCGGTCACGTACCTGCGGCGGTTGGCTCGCGTCGCACATGGTGGCAGCGCAGGAAGCAGCAAAGCCTGCCTGGATTGCCATCTCCCAAGTTCTGCAAATATGCAAAACTTGAGCAGTTTGGAATCCCAGCTTTGCGGGGATGAGAGGCTTCCCGGGTGTGCTGCAGGTTGCGAGGCTCGGAGATACGGATAAACGCTAAAAAGCCACAGGATCCAGCTGCCGGTGCTCCAGCAGCTGCTGCTCCGCGGCTTGACGAGCCTGTCATGCTCAGCATGGCCGAATCTTTCCTAGAACAAGCCCAAGCGTGTCCGTTCCGGCTCAAGCCCACAGCACATCAACATCCCAACCCGAAACAGCTCGATTGAAAGAAGGCAGGTCTCTGAATCATTATATGCAGGAGCCTGCGCATCTGTAGACAGACAGTGCAGCAGACTGTCGAGGCCCGCCATGGCAATCCAACTACGGAGCTAGGGCATCACAGAGGAAGCAAACTAGAAGTTCTTTTAAGGACACCTCAAAGGCCAGGGTACAGCAGTGGACCTGCATCAGGGAAATTGCCCACAACTTCTTCCTCTGGCAGGTTCAAAGTGCTTCGCAGCATGGCCCCCTGGACACACTGCGCTTCCAGCCATGTTGGTCCAACAGGGCGGGTGTAGGCTCCGAAACCCGCCCGACTCCGGGGTTCAGGCTGCTTGGAGTCACCTAACACCCCGATACTACACCTGGTCCTGAAACTCAAAACCTGTACCCTGAACCTGTGACAACCAGCAGCCCGAAACCAAAAACCCTGACTCCCCAAAGCCAAATCCTCAACTTTTGAATCTGAACTTCCAAACGTGCACCCTAAAGACCCGTGACCGCTCATCCGGGGACCCGGCCGGTGCCTTTCCTTCGTCTGCAGCGGCTTTGCGGACCATCTCGCCTCGAATCCGTTTACAAGGCCGAGATGATCCGAGATTTATGTTGCAGTCAAGACTTGCAGAAGCTTCGGCGGACTGCATGGACGTGTCATGCTCCAGGCGTCTCAAAGTAGCCGAGAAGCAGATGGCCACACGTTCCTGGCGTCACCGGTCAGCGAGCTCCCAAACTGTGATGTGTGAAATTGCCTGAATGACATGCTGTTAGCGTTTTCGCTCAAGCACCTGGGCTTTGCCAAACCTTGTCACGACAGCATGACTTGTTTACACAGCTGTCGATTCATTGTCGATGCGACAGATTCCTGACCTTCCTGTATCCTTCCATTCATTTGTCGGAGAATGACAAGGAAGAGGACTGCGAGTAAATCATGAGTCTGACACCAGGAAATCTGGCTGACTGAGGTCCTCCGCAGGGAAAAGATTCGGAATCTCCCCCGTGTTGAGCAGGTTGTTTACGTCCTCAACGAAGCCTTCGTCCTGCAAGGAGACTTGCAGATACATGCAGGCCGCTTGCTGAAACTACAAGCTGCAGCCACTCCCTGAGACGTCTAACATCAATGAAATACTGCAGAAGCAAGCTTGACCCTTTCCGTGTAAACACAAACTACGACTTTGTACGTACATTTCACATAGCGGAGTGTGCTCAAGACTGTTGGAGCACTTGGACGCTGTCTGAGGCAAGTCAATGTACACCTGCCGCAAACAACCCTCTTGCCACCTTGATCTGAGTGTCGCTGAACAGGAAGACCGTGTGCTCTTCGCTACCCCCGGCTTTGGTCAGCATCTTCTTCATATCCTGACATGTGCAATTCGAGAAGACAACACGCCGACGTTTGGGGGAGGGGCCAAAGCTAAACCCCCCCTAGCCGAGACCCCGGCTTCGCGGAAGGCATTCATGTCGTAGCCTTTCGTAATCTCGATTTGGAAGACTGTGAAGTCGGACATGTAGCATGCCTCGAGGAGCCAGCACAAGCAACGAAACAAACCAGCCGGACCATGCCAAGTGTGCAGCACAGTGAGCCTTCAACCTGGTGTCCTCTTTATTGACACTGGATGGCACGGCGGCAGTTAAGGGATGCCATGTTGCACAACATCTGTTAAACATAATTTAGTGCGAGTCGTAGCAGCCACAGCAAACCACTAGCATGTAACCGCCGGCATATTCACCATTACGACTACCATCATCATTGTCATCCTCACCATCATCATCATCACCAATACCATTATCATCATCATCATCACTGACTCTGCTGCTTCTACGACTGCTGCTGCTACTGCTGTTGACTACTGCTACTGCTACTGCTGTTGACTACTGCTACTGCTACTACTGCTACTACTGCTACTACTGCTACTACTGCTACTACTGCTGCTACTACTACTGCTGCTACTGCTGCTACTGCTCCTGCTACTACTGCTGCTGCTACTACTGCTACTACCGTTACTACCGTTGCAGCTGCAGCTGCTACTGCCACTACCGCTACGGCGACGGCTACTGCTACTGCTGCTGCTGCTGCTGCTTGTCTAATTTGCTTGTCTCCGCCTTGCAACGGAGACAGAGAGGACAGAGTAGCCCTAGTCTGTTTTCCCCTTCACCTTAGCTCTTTGTAGTTTTAAGTGCAGTCTGCTCGTCTGTTCAGCAGTGTGAAGACTCGACCAGTGAAGTGCAACTACTGCCACTACTTTCACTGCTGCTCATACTACTACTCAGCCCTCGGGCAATGGCAAGGGGCGGTTATGCTTGTTTCACACTCTTAACCGGGACAAAGCCAAGCCGCCCAGGGTATCGCGGCTGCGCGAGGACACAAGGGGGTGTGGATGCAAGTTCCTGTTCGATGTTTTTTAACACGCAGCTTCGCCGTGTTGAGGCGCAGCCAACTTCCATTGTCATTCGGTGCTTGATAAGGTCCGAAGGGGAACGCGAGAGGTTTAATGCTGTGGTTTTCCGAGCAACGCGGATGTTCACCGTTCGTGATTGTAGGACTAGGGTTGTCAAGTTGGTGCACCTGAGCCCACCTGTCTCCGTCCAGAACCCCCTCAGGAAATTGTGGAGCTTTGCTCTGCGCTGGAGATGGAGAGGGCACGTGCCGCGCGGCTGCGGCTGTCGTTCGGGGACTGTTCAAAGAGAAGATGAGCCCGGAATCAGGGTTTCTCTTCGTGCGATCAGCATGTTGAAACATTGGCTCACTTTCCAAGAACCGAGATGCCAATCAGGTCAAGCAGCTGGAGGCTCGTTGACTTCAGCGTTTTTCTTTGGATACTCTGTACGATAAAATGCTATAATATACGAGTATATATATATATACATATATATATATGTGATTGTATACTCTGGCTATATCTTGCTACAAGGTACCATAAGGTACGATAAGCTTCTGTAACATACTCCCGTCATTCCTTCCGGCTGGAGCCGGTCGTTACACCGAAATGCATGAATCAAGGCAGCCTTGAGAAATACCGACGAGGGTTTGGGGTTTAGGGTTTAGGGGTTTCCTCAGCTCGAAACAGCATAACTATATACTATATACCGGGCAATGTCCTTCTGTGCCCTTGCTGGCACACGGTGATACAACGCGGCATGTATCGGCGCGGGGACAGCCGAGAATGCTAGAGAGAACAATGCGTACAGCTATAGACAGAGCATACTACGTACTACAATATACAAAAGACTATGCTGTACCATGATATGGCCGAAACCCAAAACCCTATACCCTAAGCCCGGAACCCTAAACACTTTGTGTTGGTCTTCTCCTTCATGGGGTTCTGGCTTCTTGTTTCACGCCGACCTCGAACCATTGACCTCGCCTGGCATGTCCGAGTTGTGAGAGCGTAAACCCTAAAAGTGATATGGGACAACATTGTATTTGAGAGCGGTGCTCAACATCGGGAGGCCGGACGAGGAATGAGCGCTCACTTCCAGGAGGCTCTTGCAAGTGACCCAGAGAGGAATCAGGAAGATTAATTCTGTCATATCCACCACATGTTATGGTATAGTCTGGTATATTAGGATCACATGATATTGCACTGTAGTACAGCATATTATAGCAGATCATTGATTATTGACTGTTATAGCGCATTATTGCACCTGGTTGTTTCGTTGTATATTGTAGTATGCTTTAGTACATTGAATAGACATATGTAAAAAATAATAGTCAATCGTGTATGTTTCTCCTATAGTGGTACAGCGATCCTGCCCGGCCCTATACAGTTCCGCCTGCATTCATTCATGCCACCGGAACGAACTGCATTATATCAAAGGGAGCCTAGCAAAGCCTTTCGGACTTCCGTTCGTGATGCAGCGACCCACAGTGTGTTGCCACAGGAATGTCCTGCGAAGCACTCGCTGCCGGGGGAATTCATGTCGGATTTCCTTTCTGCGATTTCGGAAACCCCAAAATTCAGCGCTGGTTTCACAGGTTTCTTGGAAGCAGTCGCCGGACTCTCTGGTAACTTAGAAATCATGGGCCCATGCTCACCTTCCTTATGACAGTCTATTATAAGTAGTATTTTTTTATTGTTTCCTAGTGTGTTATATTATGTTAGAGCAGCCACCCCAAATTTGCTTGGCTACTGTGGCACATCCACTTGCCTCCCAGGCCCGCGAGCAATCGGATCTGACTGCGCTGAGGACGAGTTGTTGCTTTTGCCAAGCAATAAGCTCTGAGTAAGTAATTACCAGTTGTTGATTCCTTATGGTTCCTCATGATGCAACTTTTTGGTAGAATACACTCCAAGGCCCCAAGATGCCCCAAGACCCTTATTAGTCAAGCCCCTAGAGTATTCAGAGCGAACCGAAGGCTGCACCTTCCAGCAGGTCTTTTCTGCTTAAGGCTTCGTTTCCGTCGTGCTTCCATCTTACGGGTCCGGCAAACTCTCCACATGAGTTCCGGCTACACTGCTAACATAAGATGGGTTGGAAACTGTGGGAACTGTGCCCCATCATGTATCTGCGAAGGAACTTGCTCTCGAACGCTTTGAAGGAACGAGACGACGTGCCTCATGCTGCAGACCAGCCGGTGCCGTTTTCGACAGAATCGGAATGAGGATAGCAAACAAGGAGACAGTGGCCACTTATCAACACTTGGCAGTGCGGGGAGTATTTCAATCTTACGACGGGCTATGTGTCCCCTCAACTATGACAGCCCACCATACCCGCCACTATAACTCACAACCTATACAGCGCTTGTGGCCTCCGAGGCACTAGAAAAAGCACTCCGGCTGCAAGACGTAAACCGCTCTGTGGAGGACCCGATTCTGTTCAAAGTCTTGGGATTTCGGGAAGTTTGACGTCGTAAAACGAGGCGTTCGGTCTCGGAGGACTTCTGCATTCTTCAAGGCCCTCATTGCAGATTAAGTATACGTGTCTGTCTGGTTGTCTAGCATGTCAAAATTACTGTACGATACAGGGACGCAGGTCCAACTTCATGGATGTCTAGCCGTTGTCCGACATTTTGAGTTCGTCCTGCTACACGCAAAACCATGCTGATGGATTCGTCTTGGCAGTTCAGAGTGGTGATGAGCTCTTGTGGGTTCGGCGACGCCCGCGCGCAAGAACCGTTCTCGATGCACAGGAAAGACAGATCGTGTTGTCAAGGCACTTGCGCACAAACTGTAAAGCCCTGTCGCAACAAGATCAAATGTGAGTCGTCGAACTGATCGTTGTAGTTAGAAGCAGTTTGCCACGGCACAGAGCCGCAGCTTCAGCCGGTTGCAGTCCGAGTGTGCATGGCTGCTTTTGCCCGCTATGGTGGCGGATGCAAGGCACAGACGCAGGGGGATCGATCTCAGCAGGTTCTGCCGCCAGTACATGCATAGAATCTGCAGCTTTGGGGCGAGGTGCCGATACGATCATGTCAGCTACTGTCTCACCTATGCTTCGACTGGCAGATGCAAGAGGGATCGTCGGGGCAGGTGCGACTTCGTTCATGCCGATGTTTGCGAGCACTGGAAGAATGGCCGAGCTTGCCCACTCAATCCAACATGCCCGTACTTGCACATCACGCTGCCTGGAGGACCACCACAGCCCCTGCAGGTGCAGCTTGTGCCCCGAGCACCTGAAGATCCGGAGCAGCTACTGGACCAGGATCCAGAGGAGGTGTCTCTGGAACCCGAGGAAAGTCAACTTACTGCAGGGGCAGCGGCAAGATTTGGTTACCTCGGTTTCGGTGACTCAGATGTGGAGAACGACACAGACGGCGAGCATAGTGAGGATCTGGCAGAAGTGCGTGAAGAGCCACCCGAGCGAGAACCCGCGGCTGCCCGCCGACGAGCTGCAAAGCCGCCCCAGCGATCCACAACTGAGGTCGCAGCGCAGTACCGTCCCCACGCACCGGTGACCCGACGGGAACTAGAGGGAAGAAAGCGCAGACCGCTCAAAATGAAGGGAGAAAAGGACACGAACGTGAGGCACCGCTGGATGGTTACTTGCCGCCGCTGCAAGAAGCAGATCATGACGGTCTTCAATCATCGCGTAATCGCGAAGTCAGTTTTCAAAAACCGAGCTCTTCGGGGATACTGGCTCAGGCAGGCCAACGGCCAGCTTTTCGGCAGAGTTGGCCTTCAAGGCACTCAAAAAAGGCTAAGCTGCCAAAAGAGCCTCCCAGGTCCAGACCACTGGGACGTGTCGCGTGCTTCCGATCGGCGGCTCGAGCGCAGGATCTTGAAGGGTCAGCTACTGAAGCACCAGTTCCAATTCCACGCTGGCGAAGAGTGTGCACCAAACGCTCCGGAGATGCGCTTTGAGGAGCAGTGTGGCTTGAAGCGCCGCATGGATGGGGTGAAAGCGGCTGATGAAGGTGGCTACGATGGCGAAGCTTTGGCTCTGGATGATGACTTGTAAGGCAGGACGGATTAGAGACGGCGACCACCTGTACATAGCTTCTCCCCCAACCAGTGCTTGCCCCTACATGGACCTCCCGAGTACAGATTTCATTTTTGGAGGTCCGGGGACATTTCACTCTACGGAGCACCAGTATGGCCTGAACGACAGACAGCGGCCCAAAATGCAAACGCATCCTCGACCTCGCAGACTGTTTATTCCATGTCCGTAGCATTCCGTAGCATCATATTACTCGCTGCTTTGTTGATCATGTTGACCTGTTGTCCTTTGCTGCAACTTAAAGAGCCTGACCTGGAAAGTCCACCGTCCCTTTATTGTTTTACTAGCCCTGGAGACTTCGACTAAGCTCCGAAGACCTTTTTGAAGCTTTGACAGGAGCTGCACGAGCAGCTCGCTCAAGCAACGGCTGACCGAGAAGAGCCCGGGCAGCTCAGCTTCTGCTCCTCAAAAGGGATTTTTGTGGCTTAGGGCGCGTCGATGTGGGATTGAAACTTTTTTGGGCTTTGCATGGACTCTACTTCGGGGCAGAGGCGCTTTCAGAAAAACTGGTTAATAGCCATGGAAGATTTTGCACTTGTGCGACATGGCTTTCATCCATCAAGTTGGAAGGGAAAGATCATCTGCAATTGTCCTTGCCAGAGCCCTATAGTTTTGAAGGGCAAAGCTCAACGCGAAGTAGAGCAGGCACCAACGTCTTGCATCTGCGGAGTTTCCTTCCTGCAAGGAGGAGTCTCGAAACGAAACTCAATAATATCGTTTCAGTATGGTTGCGGGCGTTTGATGAAATTACGGGAAGCACGCGGCTGAAGACAACAGGTTGGAGTCCTTGATGCGAGGATGTGCTGTCCTGCTTGCCAGGAGGGCTCAGGGCATGTTGCCACAAGCCCTCATCCCCACCGACAGCACTTTGCTACCCTTTTCAGACACATCTAGTGATCAACTCAGACAAGTGGGCCGGGCATGTGCTCTCCGAAACTATAGCCCGAATCCAATCTCCAGCGCATGGTTCCTGGCCCCACTTTTTTTCGGACGTTGCATCACTTGGCCGGCCATGGCTGACCCGCGGGTGTATGCAACCGCCGACTTGCTCTTTGGCCTTAGTGTTGGGGTGGGGTGTTTCTGCGCTTGCCTTTGTGATTGACAGGTGCACGTGACTCGACCGGCAATTATGATAGGTCTAGAGGACATGTGTACGTCTGTGCCCGACGTGAGCTCAACTTTCGAAGTTAATAATACCAGTATTCATCTTCATATGAACATTAATATTGAGGCCAGGAAGCCAACGCGCAAAGCTTCCAAGCAGTGCCGCCAACTGAGGCTGCGCTTTCGTCCAGGGCTGTTGCCACCTGGGCTGGGGGAGACCACCGAGCCGGATACATGCTTGAAGTTCTGCTAGGGCCAGGGCTTAGATAGGGAGTTTAGGGCAGGCAGTCAGGCTCAACGTTTCGAATGCCAGAGAGAGAGATAGAGAGAGAGAGAGAGAGAGAGTGAGTGAGTGAGAGGGTTTAATTGATCCTACAGAAGACACGGCTCCGCAGAGCAAAGTGAAGAAATAACAAGTCGGAAGAGCGATCATGAGGAGCTACCGCAGGCATCGTGTCGACCACAAAACCAGAACTCTGCCGGGATGCATTTATATCTCCTGAAAGATCACTGAAATCAGCGAATCACCGGTTCAGTTTCTGATGTCCAAATCAAAAACCTGAAACCTTAATAATTCTAACTTTGTTCTCATCCCTGAACAGTCCAAACAAAGCCTTGACTTAACTTCCCCATCCCTCGGTCTCTCGCCTCTCTCTCTCTCTCTCTCTCTCTCTCGCGCTTTCTTTATGTTCCTCTCACCGGCACTCGCTCATCGAAACCACAAGTTCTTGTTGGTTGTGAGGTCGGTTGCAGATTGCTGATGGTCATGTCACTCTGCAAAGCTGGAAGCGATTCCTGGATTATTCTGGTATCAATCAGAGGCTTCTCTTGAATTGAACTTCGGCCCTTTTTTGGGGATTTGTATCAGAGCCTGGGCTTTGGCAGGTGGCACCACTGCAAGATGCTCAGCACGGAAGAGCAGAACATCGACACAGGCCCCAGATAAATAAACACTAGCTTGCACGTCGAGGCTAGCAAGCAGCATCGTTTGATTGCAGGCATTCGCTTGCCTGTGGCTACGTGGTTCATTTTTCGACAACCCTATCAGGATACTTTCGAGGACAGGCTTAATTCTGACCCCTAAATTATTAAATGTCCAACCCTAAACCTTATCTCTCTCTCTCTCTCTCACTGTCTCGCTCGCTCTCTGTCTTGTGTCGTTTTGGGGTCCTTCCTTCCAAACTATTACTGTATGATTCAATCTAAGACTGAATTACGAATGGTTATAGTCTGTGTGCTGCCTCTTGCAGGACCAAGTGACCTGGGGCAGGCTCCAAAGACGCCTGCTTCACTTGCTGAGCCAGGAGGCAGAGAGGGAGATCATGGGCGGCATCGCCCAGCAGGAGATGCCTCCATTGCAGCCCGACCACAAGTTCCACCCCATGACCAAGTTCCCTAGCTGCACATCATTGATTCATAGATATTCCGTCCTGTCCGTTACAGATCCCAAATGTGCTCGCACGGCATCTATCTCACCAGCTCCCCTGGCCTTGCAGGGATGGCAGAAGTCTTCGCGATGATTGCAAGCCTCGGGCACAGATGGCTATCGACAGGTTTATTTCTCGAGGAGGGGGCTTTTGCTCCAAGGGGATGGACGCTTCCCTCCGAGATGTTGGTCTCGAGGCTATGTGCCCGTCTCACTACGGGAGGACTGTTCGGGGTTCTTTTTGTGTGGGATTGAGCTAGGACCTTATCATTTATTGCCAGCTCTGGTGGGGTTTCTTATATTATTTCCTGGAGTCCTTTTCGTGTACAATATAGGCTTTATACTTTATGGGATGTATTTACAAGCTAATGTGCAAAAGGGTCGTCTAAGTCTAAGTGCAGTCCTTTTCCAGAGTACCTAAACCCTTGCTGCTTGTGGCCCATTGACATCAAACCCTGAACAGGACCCATAAGTAAAACCAGAGATCAATAAACAGCAGGACCACCTCGGATTTTATGTGTCGGTATCTACGGCGAACTGAAGATGATCTGAAGGAGGCACGCCAAACATCAATGGGCTTTGGGTCTCCCTTCCCTGAGTTGCCCAGGCCTTGAGTCAGATGACATTCAAGAGTGTGGGTGTGCTCTGTGATGCATCTCCCAAAGCAAAGATGGATGTTACTCGCTTGCAATAAGACTGCTTGCATCTCGCTAAAGATTTTCCGCGACTGCTGCGATCCCGAGATTTGGCTTCCGATCATCGTGATGCCGAACAAGATTGGGCTTGCTACCCTGCAAAGGCTGAGTGGTTTGCTCCCTTCAAACGCGAGCGCCGAAGAGAAGATGGAAGTCGCCGCCATGGTCGCCGACTCCCGTACTCGCAATGTGGTGGCCGAGACAAAGCAGAAGGATTTGAAAAAACAACTGAAGCTCGGTGAGCATTCATTGAAGCATCCTGCTGTTGCTGTGTTTTTAGGACTGAGTCAATGAATGCACACACACCCAGGCCAAAAGCCCTAAACGCGATCAAGCAAGAGAAATTGGCCAGCCGGCAAGAGCTCAAGGCTGTGATGAACATCCTGAGCCATGTCGGGATGGAGCTGGATGCCTTCTTCCCCGAGGAACCATTGACTGCAACAGTCTGCGGCATGGAAGAGAGGCGGATCCTTGAGCACAACTCCCAGAACTGTGCATACATCTTGAACAAAGAGACGGGGCGGGTCCGCTGGGACACGCCGATGCACTCCGCCACGCAGGGCATCCGCCTAGTGCTTTGCGCCGACCAAGGATCCCCTCTGCACACCTGTTTTCAGTTCTTAGCATTGTCGGGAGCGAGCATCTCTTTGATTCGCGACGAGCTGCCCCCCGGTGGCAACACGGTTTTCATTGTCCGTACACCATTGAACCGCCCAGCGACTTAGGCCTCCGAGCCCGACCCAACCACCCCCCCCCCCCGCGGCCCAGGCANNTTGCATGCACATCAAGGAAGGGTGACTTCCTGCAGTCCTGCTGTGAAACGCTTCCTTGCTGCATTGACTTAGGCGACTTGGGCCCTGATTATGATAGTTGCAGCACGATTCAAAAACCCGTTCAGGAATGACGATGCTATGCGGGTGGCTCTTTCGGGCCAGGAAGACCCCATGGCACACACAGGGATTCGGGAATCTGCTCTCTGAAGCTGGTGAGCGCTACATGCAAACAGCAACACAGCTGCACCATTGAAACAAGTGATGTGCAGTCCCTTTTTCATGGCTTGTTGTAGCGAGATTGCAATCTAACTAAATACTTAAGGCGAAGCCGGGGGACGTGTTGATGCAAATGTTCCAGCGAGACATCCTGAAAGAGAGTCTTATCTTATTATTTTATGAACCCAGCACCATTCGGCCGACCCAGCTCAATGCCAAGGAACGACCTCGATGAAACCAGTGACGAGCAGCTGAACTTTTCCAGGGTTATGGATATCCTCGGCAGAGTGTGCAAGCCGCTGGTGTGCACTATGGTTTAACGGGCTGCTCGTATTTGTTGAGGGTTTAGGGCTTAGGGC